GCCCAAATAAAAATATTTTTAAAGTTGGTGACCTGTTTTCACCCAAGTTGTTAGCCAATCAAGTTAATTTCCAAAAAATGGTTTTATAAATACAGTCTATTATCTGTGTATAATAATTTAAGAGTTTTTCCTTGATTAAAGATAATATACATAGTTTTTAAAGTGTTAACTACTATGATTTGGTTCTCTTGAGTCATCTGAAGTAATTGTTAAGATAAATAAAAATGGGGACCCCTTGGGCTTGGCCAATACCTGACAAAATTCCTCTCTGACTGTAAAAGCAGCTGCCTGAACCGATTTGTTGAGTTTTCTCTACTAATGGGTGATTTCTCTGGGTTTTCCCAGCCTTACTGTGGCACACCACCAACAAACATTATTAAATAAATTATTATCATATATTTAAGTTGGTTGTAATTCAAAAGTTAAGTGTTCTATGTCTAAAACAATAAGGTTTTCTTAAGATATTAAGATGGTCTTGGTTAAACTTACAAAACTAGAAAAATAACAAAGGTTCTATCCATTACTAAATGGTTACTTCTGTTTTTCATTATTAGGCCTTTGGTTACTAAAAGCTGAGTCTTAAGCATTAAAGTTTATTTAAATGTTGGCTTATAAAATCCTTTCAATAATCAATTTATGATTGGCTAAATAAACAACTATTCTCTTAGTTTATGACCTAACCTGTACATCTGGGAATATATATGTCTAAAATATATATATTATATATTTATATTATATATATATCTAAAAACAAAATATGCTGTGAATCTAAGCTTTAAAGTTTATAGAGTTAATACTACATAAGTTTGGGCTGGGGATTTAGCTCAGTGGTTCTGGTGCCTGCCTTGCAAACGCAAGGTCCTGAGTTAGATCCCCAGTACAAAAAAAAAAAAAATACTACATAAGTTCAATACATACAAAGTAATAAGTACTCCCTTTTATACAATATAGATCTGGACCCTAGATATATAAAATGATCAAGATTTTTTGGCATCTCTTTAAATTTGGTCCTGCCATTTTCAGACAGGAGATTAGGGCATGGCAGAGCTGGGTGGGGAAGTATGTATGACCTGTTAATTACAAAATCCCAGTGCATGTTTGCAGAACAGTTCCCAAAGCCCTGCACATGGACTTCTCTTGAAATTGGAGCAGGTTTTCAATAGGATGGCCTGGACCTGACCTCAGTCTGAGGGATGGGTAATACAAAAAGGACAGTTGCCATTGAGTTTTTGCCACTCTGTTTGCTTTTTCATAGTGGCCTGCCCTCACCTGAAACAGTCCATTATTATATAAATGAGATATATTATATAATATTCATTATAATGTAATATACATTATATATATTATATGTTGGGTAATAAGTCCATTTGTGATTGATAATACTGTTTCCTAACTTATAAAAGATTTATAGATGTCCTTTAAATTTTATCAATGGAGTTATACCCTATAAAACTTGTTAAAAGAGTCAAAATTTTGCCTTAACAATAAAAACTAAATAAATATATATAAACATTTCTATACAGCTATGATGCTAGTTATTACCAACTTCATGGTATATTAAATACATTTATGTTTCCCAAAATAGAAAACTTTAAAAAAATCGTATCCTACTGATAACTTTCAAACAAAAGTTGTTTATGATGATAAACTTTTTCAGGCTCAAACATCTGGCTTTCCCTTACTTGTGTTTCAACTACTTGTGATAAAATGTACATGCCAGTCCAACATGAGCCAGCCAGCCAAATGATGTAGATACTTTTTCATACTTATGTTTATGTGATTGTTATATAATTGTGTTATGATAGTTAGATGTACCCAAACATTACACAATCTAGATGATGTCACTCTAATGATTAGAGATTAGGCACTAATAACCTATAAAGTACCCCTGTAAACAAGTGCATTCTACTTAAAAGACATTTTAGTAAATAATAGCAAATTTATCAATCCCCAGCACCAACCCCCCCCTCCAAAAAAATAGCAAATTTAAATAAGAGTTTATGTCATTTAATATCTTATAATTAGACAAAATAACCAACTAATACAATATATATTTAAATTTATTTCAGATATGATAACAAAAACCTAATAGTTATAATATAATTTGTCATGATTGTTACCCTAAAATGCTATTTTTGCTCTTGGTTTCAATTTTTCCCTATAAAACTTTACAACTGTTATCTGTTAACATTCTACAAAAATTTAACTTCATGACTGATAAGAAATGACAGTTTTCTGGCCATACTTTATGTTTCAAACTGTTTGATATCCAGATAAGATTATGATAGTTATGTCTACTGCTCCTACTTCAATACAATATAACTGACCTTCCGTGTGTTTAACAACCAAGGCTTAGAGATCAAAGGTAATGAAAGGTAACTGGGCTAAGAGAACAGCCAATATTTTGGCCCTGGTCCTCCAGGGTCAACAAAGATGCAGGACGTGAAAGGAAAGGGCTTCTCTGAAAAGATTCTATGACTTCAGTAAGTCACCCAACCTCCTCAACAGGAAGATTGTTAGAGCCCAGAGGACAGCAGTCAACCAGTGTACATTGTGCTAAACAGAGGATCACTAAAGAGAAAAATGTCTCCCATGTTTCCATGGAAAGCCATCTGGTCATACTCATCCTGGCAGATGACACTGATAAAAGAGCTAAGAGGCTCCACACATGGTCCTAAAAATAATCCCTGAGGAACTGTAACTAGCCTTGATATATAGAGAGTGGTTAATTTTAATTAATACAGTTCTCACTTTAACTTTTTCTTAAACACCCAACAAAAAGTTATAAACAAAAGGAGACATAGATTTATAAAATAATAATATAGGCTAAATACGAAAAAGAAGCTCTAGCCCTGCACTGATCTGCTAACAATCTCCAGGTACAATGCAGCTTATCACTATTATGGTTCAGTGAGGCTAAAAGACCACAGTGGCAGCTATAAAAGCTCAAGATTCTTAAATTCCTTAGCCAAAATACTCCTTCAAGGGCTGGGGATTTAGCTCAGTGGTTCCACCACCTGCCTTGCAAGTGCAAGGTCCCAAGATCGATCCCCAGTACCAAAAAATCAATCAAACAAAAAAAAATAGTCCTTCAAAACTATAAAACCCTCAATCTTTTTACAGCCAAAATTAGAGGGACTTACACACTAATAAATAAAACTTGTTGTCATTAGTTAAATAACTAACATCAGGTTAAAAAAAAGACCTTAGAACCATAAAACATCAGACTTACAAGTAACCTCTATAAACAGTGAAGGTCTAGGGCCCAGTTGGTTACAATCTCTACTCCAGTCCCTTCAAAAGTGTATCTAAACTAGACTATTTTTTTAAATAATAAAATTTGTTTCTTCTTGCCTAAAAACTGTCAGACTCCAAATGGTCATACAGATAAAACCAATAATAAATGTGCGTAAATGTGCCAGACTCTTTTACCCAGGGCCACTAGATCAACCCTGTAAAGGGAGTCTCTAGCTGCTA